GTAATAATTTAGACTAACAACAATATAAATTGTCCGTTCGTCCGTTTTCCGCCGCTTATCCAGGATCGGGTCGCGTGGGCAGCAGGAGACCCCCTCTCCCCAGCGACACTTTCCAGCTCGTCCTGGGGGACTCCGAGACGTTCCCAGACCAGAGGGGATACATAATCCCTCCAGCAAGTCCTGGATTTTCTCCAATGTGCCAGACATATTTTGAAATCATTTTAAAAGGCTTATTTCCGAACAGCAACTGAGACCTGAGACCACTTGAGACAGCCGGGGGGTACGGTGCGCAACGTTGTGTCTTCTGAATAAATGAAAATGATTTAACACAGTTGTTTATACTTTTAGCAGCTCCTTTTATTCCACAGCTGACCTGCTAAAAATGATAGATTTTCTTTTCTGGATCTCTGACAGACGGACTTCAATCTCTGAACTCGTAAAGTTTTCTTTTTTAGTTTTTGCTGTCATTTTCATGAATGGACACTTCCTGGCATCTGAGGCAGGAAACATAGCCTTATATGGTGTTTTTGGGGTGGTAATTATGCTAATCTCCTCTCCACGTGCACGAACAGCTGGATACGAACAGGTGCCAATCATCATATTTACGCAGCTCATTTACACACTTTTCCTGAAGATAGAAGTTTGTTGAATCTAACATGGCATGTTCGTACGAACCCTTCGTATGAACAAAATAAAAMAAATTTAGGATAAGAATACGAACATGTTCTTGCATGAGGCCCATTGCTTCCGGGACAGATCAGGCAGCCACAGTGATGTCAGATTTTAGCAGTTCCAGGATTTTTTGTTTTGTTTTTGGCAAATGTGCCAGACATACACTCTTTAACAATGAGCTCAGCATGAGTGAAAGATGAGGCGGAACAATGGAGAACGTTGTTTTTTACACAAGGCACTGAGGCAGCTCCACGTGAGTCGGCATTCACCAAGTAGGAGCGCGTCCAACTTCACAGCAGTGATGTTCACCTTATACAGATGTCCAGCAAGGTATTTACAGTATGAGTAACTTTAATACTGTTATTACTCAGAATGCCCAACGTTATAGTCTGCTTCCTGCTTTTGGAGCAGTCTCCACACATGCAAACGAATCGCATCAGAGTTCACTTCAACCGAACCAAGACCTTGGTTTTCAGGCAAACTGGAGTTCGCTTTTCTGGTCCGCATCAGAGTTCGATTATTTGTTCACCTCCCCAAACGAACCAGACCTTCCAGTCAAACGAATTAGAGTTCGATTAAAGTTGCTTCAAGTTGGCCGTCGAGCAAATCAGCCATAGAAAATCAGCTTCAGCAGCCAGTTTTGCAGAATGTGTTTGTTGCCGTCAGTCTCTTTGGGCACAAACAGATCGCAAAGCATCTTGCTACTGTATATCTTACGCTACCACATGTTGAGATTTGAGCAAAAAGGCTATAATTCCCTCATTTTCATCACCATCTTAATCTAAAACCCCTGCATGAAAGGCAGCAGATGAGACATATTCCTTCATGAATGCTGGGCTTTCAATGATTTCCCAGAATACCTGACGAGTTCAAATTAATTTTAGTAAAGTGCTTCCCTGTGTCCCATTGTGACATCTCTTTGAAAACTTCATTTTTCTTCCTCTCTAAACTCAATTTTCGTTTTCATACAATCATTAAAATTGGTAGTTAAATTATGCAAAGAATTTATTAAATGAGTGCACAAATGTTTCAGTTCTTTAACCTGCAGATATGTTTTATACACATTCAAACAGTTCTTGCTTTGTGTCACTCTTTTCTTTAATTTAAACATTTGGAACATTAAATTAAACTATAAACGTTTTCCTCATTGCCTCCAATTTTATTGTTTTAAAACATGGTCACAAAATAAAGAATAACAGATGGAATAAATACCAGAAGTAAGGACTTGACACTATGACTTGGTAATTAGGCAAGTATTTTTTGTTGTACCAATGCTTCTTGGCAATCTATCTTATACCAAGCATCTGATTGGCAGAACCTGAGGGTACCAGAAGCTCAAAATAAGAGTCAATAGCTACAGCAGAATAAGTTTTTTGGCAGTGACAGAGACGCTCCATGTGTGCAACCCACGTACTCAGCTCTACTGCTCATCCTACAATTGCATGTTCCTTACAAATGTGGCATCTTTTAAACGGGAAAGTAACAGGCTTTCCAGTGGTACAATATTTATTGTCAAGAAGCATTGTTGCAACAAAGAAAATGTRCTTATTTTTGAGCTACGGTGTGGTGCTTATACGGAAGACATATTACTCACCGACCAGAGGAGTCATGGCTGAGGTGAAGACAGAACTACTCTGGACCACAAATGTTATCCCGGCACCCACAAACATGGCAACGTATCCAGCCAGCCAACCAAACGGATATGGTAAATCTGTTGGAGAGAAGAGTAAAGAAATAACACATGCTGACAGAGAGTAAATAATTCATTGCTCTTTCATATCTGTCCATTAGTTAGGTAAATAAAGAGTGGGTTGATTAGAATAGTCTCAACAAACTGGGATAATGCTTGTTCAACAATTGTTCCACTCCCTGAAAAAGTCAAATTGTCCCTTGTTTCTTAGGAAAAAAACAACCCTTTTGTCACCTGTGTTGATGACTTTGTGGATGATCTTTGCCATATGGCCTTGGAGAAGAGAGTTGAGGAGTTTAACCAGGAGCAGCAGACACGTGCAGAGGACMATCAGTGATGCTGCCAGGAGAATCAGACCCACGGTGAGATCTGACAGCTCTGCAGATGCAAACAAATGTCTACCTGAAAAGAGACGGAGACCAGTCAATTACAACCATGATATTTTCTCACTAAGGTTGAGAGCTACGTTCAGAGTGGCAATTAGAGTATGCGTCGTAAACTACATCGTTAAATTTTAGCACTATATCTGAAAAACTGACTGAATTATAGCTACTTTTGTGTTTCTAAGGTCACTTGGCTGTGGCAGCCATCTTAATTTAAGCTGTCTCCAAAAGATGTTCAGTTATTAAAAGTACACCCAATTATTACAGTATTATTATTATTTATTTTTATTATTGTAATTTTTTTGCACGTCATTAAAATGTGCTCTGTGGTTCATGAGATATTTTGGCAACAGACACGAGCTAAAACGTTAGCGCTCCATTTTCGTCTTTTGACAGCAGGACTCACACTTGACCCATGTCGTCTCAGACAGGTTATGACTGAGGCCACAGTTTGTTTCACCGCTCTTGTTGCCAAAAGACTGAAAGAAAGAAAGAAAAAAAAACTTTAGCAATAAGTGCCGTCACGGTGTCACATCGTGTCTGTCTGCGGAGGAGGCAGCAGTGGTGAGCGGCAATTACCAAAACCCCGTCAGCCTGGCACCATTCTTTCACCAGGCTCCTGTTCCTCATCGCCTCGTTTCCCATAGCGAGCTCTGTGATCACACACTTGTCAAGCTGATGGAGGCAGAGGAGACGTATATTTAGAGAAGTCAAGACGTGCAGAAAAATGTACAACCCCATTTCTGTAAAAGTTGGGATGCTGCGATGTAAATGTGACTCGTATGCAAAGACAGAAAATGCAGTGATTTTAGAATCTCATAAACTTGGATTTTAATTACAATGGAGCAATGATGTCATCCGTGTAAACTAACAAAGTGCGCCATTTGTTTGATCATCTTGAATTTCACGGCAGCAACATATCTGAAAAAAGCTGGGACAGTTCCATGTTTCCCACTGTGAAGCAGCTCCTCTTTTTTTACCATCAGTCTGTGTCTCAGAACTGAGGAGTGTTCGGAGTCTTTGGAGAGGATTGTTGTCTCATTCTTGTCCGACAGAGAATTCTAGATGTTCAACAGTCCTCGGTTGTCTTTGCTTCAGTTTTCATTTTATGATGCACCAAATGTTTTTAATCAGTGAGTGAGGTCTGGACTTTGGGCTCTTCCACTACAAATCTATGTTGTAATGATGCAGTATGAGGTGAAACATTATCTTGCTGAAATATGCCTAATGATGACATATGGATGGGAGGATTTGTTGTTCTAAAATCTGTATACATTTCTGCGTCGATGTTACCCTTCCAGATGTGTAAGCTGCATGTGACAGAAGCAATAATGAACCACTATACCATCAGCGAGACAGGCTTTTGAACTGATAACTGGACGGCCCCTCTCCTTTTTAGCACAAAGGACATGACATCTGTGGTTTCCAAACAGAATTTCCATTTTTCATTTATCTGACAATCAGAGCAGTTTTCCACTAAACTAGCTTTAGCAGAAAGAAGATGGCAGAGTTTCTGGATGCTGTTCACATAGTTTCTTTTATGCAAGATACAGCTCAGCAAACACTTGTGCTTGAAGAKAAGGATTTATAGACCTGAGCTCATGCAGTGATGTTCAGAACAGAATCAGACYTYRTTTAAATGGAGTGGCCCCTGAGGGCCTGAAGATCATCCAATACCGACTTTCAGCTTTGTCCTCTGATTTATGGAGATTTCTCCAGACTCTTAAAATCTTTTGATAACATGATAAAGCGACATTCAAATTCTTCCATATTTTCTTCTGAGGAACATTATTCAGAAATTGTTCCACTGTTCATAACTGCAGTTTTTCACAGACTGGTAAATCCCTGCCCATCTTCAATTCTGAGACATTCAGAGTRGCTTCAAGTGCTCTTTCTCTTTCCAGTCCTCTTACTGACCTGTGGCAAAATGCTCTTCCAACTGTTTCTTTGTGACACTTACTTTTACAGCCTTTTCTTGCCTCTGTCCCTTCTTGTGTTGCTGCCGTCAAACTCAGCTACATTTTCCCCTCCCAAAGTGATGGTTAAATTTAGTTTTAACAGTTGATTTGTTTGTTTCTATTGTAAAATAAAACATTAGTTTTATGATTTGAAAACCATTGCGTTCTATTTTTATTTGCATTTTTCACAACATCCCAGCTTTTTCCAGCACTGGGATTGTAGCTTGACATTACGAGCACTCTCTGAGAAGTCAGCTGGAACTGGGTGGTCTCTGTCTGTTTTATTGAGCAGAGATGTTGATCGTTTCACCTGTATGATGAGCTGTGTGAGTGGCTCAGTGATGACCTTCAGCAGCTCGGGTGCTTCCTCCCCGGGTTGCAGGCTTAATATGGAGACCAGCAGGAGGGACAGCCGGGTCATTATCCCGCTCAGCACCTCCAGGGGCAGCAGAACCAGCACYGACAACCAATTGAAGCAGTCGTGGATCGTTGCTCCAGCAAAGGCCCTGTGGTCGGTCACAATGATTAACTGAGCTCGACGAGGCCAGTCGGCATCATCGTCTCTACTTTAACTAATTGCTGGTTAATCTGATTTTCTGAGCTCATGTCTTTTAGACGTGTGTGATGTAATGAGCAGTTTGGTTCTGACTCAGTGTGTGCATATTACAAAAGATTAATGAATAACTGTTTTACCACAAACAGATAAAATAACACGCCATCTGTCCAGCACATTATCTTTCCAGGCCAGATATTTGCTGGTATGGAATTAGCTGGGCTTTATGCCATTATTGTCATTTTTTTTCTTAGAAAAACAGTGAAATAAAGCCGCACAGGCAGCTGCCAGGGGATTTTTTTCTTTTTTATAAATCAGTCTCCTTGGCTTTCTCCATTTTTTTTCATTTTTTTCTTTTTTTATATTCATCAATTGTGCATTTCAGCTTCTCCCTCCCTGCTCTCTCTGCTCCTGACATGCTTTAGCACATTTGCTCGCTCACCGTTGAAAGTCATTTCTCTCTGCTGCCTGCATCATGGCCACTATGGTGTTTGTGACAGAAGTCCCGATATTGGTACCCATGATTACTGGAACAGCTGACTTTACTTCCAGCACTGTGGGGTGAAACCAAACAGAACACGGTCATTTTCACAGTTGTCATTCATGTGAAATATAAATGAGGAAGCTGCTTTTGGATAAATGTCTGAGTTCATTTTTTTTATTCCACACAGAAATATTATGAGGTCATCCTTATCTCTATGTCCCCCCGGTCTCCTCCTGCACTCTAACTCAGGGTATTTTAAATACATTTGAAGGGAGAACTAAGCATCTTTCATGACTTTCATTATAAACCCTGGAGATCTTAGCTYTGAACTAACTTACAATGCATGACAGACCACATTTTGAATGCAACATAAGTTTTAATGGAGCTGAGAGGTGATTGTAGTTTCCAAGTGAGAGGGGGCAGCTTTCCAGGAGGGGGTGAACGCCAGAGTCTTCATTAATGATAAGAATGACACACGTTATGAAGACAAACGTCCTCACCTTCCTCTCTGTTTGGTAATTAGCAGCAATCTTCCTCTTTGCTCTCTGATAAAAAGGCTTTTGAAGCAGAGAGATTGCTCCTGAACGCTGATCTCATTTATTTTATAGGCTCGGTGTAAAAGAGTCGAACCGAAATGAATTTCCCAAGAGGTGAGATAAACTGGACTGCATAAGATGAAGAGAGATCACACATTGTGTGATAGAATATGATTTAATTACTGCTCTCTGACTCTGCTGTGAAGCAAGTGTAGAATAATCTTGTGTGGTTTTGACAGCTTTTCACCTCAGTATTATGATTTTTAAATGACTGTTTGAGGGCAGTCACAAGACTTATCTGTAATAAACTCTAAGTCACATGCACATAATAAGACCTGCTCCTGGAAATAATTCACTCATTAAAACAACAGCACCCTTAAAGGGGCAATATCATGTAAAATCAACTTTTTTGAGTTTTATCTCATGTTATAATGTTATACTTTTATAAAAAAAAAATAAAACATGCTCAAAGCCTTGCTTTGACTCATTCATGCATGTTTGAGAAATCCTGCAGCGTTTTTAGGCAGCCATGCTGAGGAGCAAAACGACAGGTGGGGAC